CAACTCCATTTTGATGAGGAGTTATAGGAGAAGAGAATTCATGACTCATTCCTTCTGAGAAACAGAATTTCTTAAACTTGTTGTTTCCAAATTCCTTGTCATGATCACTTCTGATTCTAACAATACATCTTTCTCTTTGAGTTCTTTTGCACAGTTCTCTAAAAACTTCAAGGTTATTCACCACATCATAGACATATCTCTTTTTACCAAGCCTTTCCATTTGATGTTCACCACAAACCCTCTTTTTATCAATTTGCAGTCTTGGAATCCTTCTGACTGCTTCCATAGAGATAGTTCTTTTCATTCTTCTTAGATGAAGATGGCCAGATTTTTGGTGCCACAGTTTCACCTCTTTTTCTTCTTTGGTAATAGAACACATAGTAGAGTTATTAGTGTTCTCAGGCTGCCACAAGTAACAATTGTCTTTAGATCTGATTCCTTTCATTACAACTTCTTGTTTTTCATTGAATACAAGACATTCAGATTTTGAGAAGATGACTTTGAATCCTAGATCACACAATTGACTGATACTAATGAGATTAGCAGTCAGGCCTTTTACCAATAGTACTTCATTCAGACTTGGAACTCCAGGGCAGTCCAAATTACCAACTCCTTTGATTTCACCTTTAGCACCATCTCCAAAGGTCACAAAACTAGTGGTGTGAGGTTTAACCTTATTGAGGAGGTTCTTGATTCCAGTCATGTGTCTGGAACACCCACTGTCAAAGTACCAGTCTTCCTTTGCAGAGACCCTCAGGGAAGTGTGGGCTATCAGGGCAGTAGCCTTTTTCTTCCATTTAGGAGTATGTGGTACCTTTTTAGACTTAGGTTTGACACCTGAGTTTTGATTAGGGTATCCATGCAATCTGAAGCAGAAAGGCTTTATGTGGCCATACCTCCCACAATGATGACATCTCTATCTTTGGTACCTTTTCTTCATATGTCTCTGTTCCTGATGTTGAGAGTTGTGTTGAGACATCTGCTTTGACATTTGTTTAACAGGCCTGATCTTCTTGTCTGTACTAGATTTCTTTGCTTCCACAAATCCTAGTCCAGATTTGTTTCCCACATTTTGTCCAACCTGAAGAATCTCTTCCAATTTGTCTGTTCCATTAGTCAGCATCTTGACAGATTTGGTCATTTGGTTCAGTTGTGAGTTCAGCAATTGAACTTCCCCTTCTAGATGACTTATAGTTTCAAGGTCTGCCCTTTTTTCAGCCTCCAGCTTTATGATGAGTTTTGATTGTTTCTCATTCTGCACACAGACTTCAGCACTTCTGATACACAATTTCTTGTAAGTATCAGCCAGTTCTTCAAATGTCACTTCTTCATCACTAGTGTCACTTTCAGAGGTACAAACATCAGTTAGAGCGGTAACTAGTTTGGCAGATTCTTCTTCAGAATTACTTTCTGAATCACAGTCAGACCAAGTAACAGTCATTCCTTTCTTTTGTTTCTTAAGAAAGATAGGACATTCAGCTCGAATATGCCCATATCCTTCACAACCATGGCATTGAATTCCTCTCCCTTGATTTCCCTTCTCTTCTGACCTTGGTCTTCTGCTGGAACTGTCAATCTCAGAGGGAATGTTATGAACATTCGACCTTGACTTTGGATCTACTCTTTTGATAAGTTTGTTGAATTGTCTTCCAAGCATGGCTATAGCTTCTGAAATATTTTCTTTTTCATCCTCCTTGTTTTCAACATCAGTGTTGGATACAAGTGTTATGCTCTTATTCTTTTTGTCAACATTTTCAGTGATCCCCATCTCAAAAGTCTGAAGAGACCCAATTAGTTCATCCACTTTCAACTTGCTGATATCCTGGGCTTCCTCTATAGCAATTACCTTCATTGCAAATCTTTTAGGCAAGGATCTGAGAATCTTTCTCACCAGTTTTTCTTCTGACATCTTTTCTCCCAATGCTCCTGAGGTGTTGGCAATCTCCAAGATGTTCATGTGAAACTCATGAATGGTTTCATCTTCCATCATTTTTAGATTCTCAAACTTGGTAGTCAGCATCTGAAGCCTTGACATTTTTACTTTGGAAGTGCCCTCATGGGTAGTTTTGAGAGTGTCCCAAACTTCCTTGGCCAGTTCATATTGATGTACTAGTCTGAATATGTTTCTATCAATTCCATTGAACAAGGCATTTAAAGCTTTGGAATTACCCAGGGCTAACTCATCTTCTTATTTACTCCAATCTTCCTCAGGCTTCAGACTGAATGTCCCATCTTTCTCAGTTATGGTGGGATGGTTCCATCCTTTGTCAGCAGCTCTCCAAGCCTTTTTGTCCAGAGATTTTAAGAAGGCAATCATACGAGGTTTCCAGTAGTCATAATTTGTTCCATCCAGAATGGGTGGTCTATTTCCAAAAACTCCTTCTTTGTCCATAGTGCCAGAAAGTGATATCCCTAGATCTCACCCAGTAATACAGGCAGGGTGCCTGCTCTGATACCAATTGAAATTTTGGCTGCAAATACTCAATGTCACGTTCAATGTTATGACACCGTATCTGACTTTCTATAAGACAGTAAATACAAAAACAGTAAAGAACACAGTCAATTGTTTACCCAGTTCAGTGCAACAACACCTACTCTGGGGGCTACCAAGCCAGGGAGGAAATCCACTATAAGAGATATTAATTCAGGAATAAACCAACCAGTTTATCTCCTTCACTTAAGACCTACCCAATGCAACTTCAATCTAAGTACAACTTAAACCTGAGTTCCTACTCACTCCCCCTCAATCACAGCAGTGATACTTAAAACAATTGACTAATGATTTAATGAAGACACTCTTCAAAACATACACTTGATTATGCTTCACAGCTTTTTAATCAAGCAACACAAACACTCTTGCTTCACAGCTTTGAGTGATACATAAACCTAACTTGACTTTGCTTCAAAGCTTTAGTCAAGAGACACAAAACACTCTAGCTTCAAAGCTTTGAGTGATACAAAACCCTTACAATTAAAACTTATTCCAAGTCACTTATCACAATGATACTTGCTTGGATTACAATAGTTAAAACTATACAGCTTCTAAATGATCTTCTATCAAAAGGGATAAATTCCAAACAGCAGCCCTGTTGAATATATAGGGCTACTTCTTCAGTTAGGGTTTCCACAAAAAGCTAGGGTTAATTCCGTTTGACCTTAAGACTTGGTCACAGGACTTTATCAACCAGGTTAGGGTTGAGCTAGGTTAACACCAAGTCCACGAGAGATTCTGTTCTGGAAAGACTGAGTCATTTTCCTGAAAAAACTCAGAATTAACCAAACTGCATAACTGTTAGTTCAGAACAGGATGTCTTAACATTTGTTATGACATCTGAATTCCTGTTTACTGATTTTGGTAAATGTGATCATTTTGCAAAAATGCTCAGATACACACTCATAAACATCGGTACCTGTATGCCACTATTTTTCTGCAAAGGTACCTAATAAATCAGTACCTAATAAACTAGAATGTTATGACATCAGTCATGACATTCACACACCTGGTTTTACCAAAAATCCATGCCAACACCTAAACAACTACATGTATTTTGATGTTGTTGAATGTATATTATTGTTGAGATTGTCGTTGATTATGAGATGAGAAGTGGTGATGTTATTGATCTAATTTAATATATTAATTATCATGCGCTTTATTATATTGTTAGATATCTCACCCCTTCTGTTTGAATGTTGCCCTTATGTTGGTAATGTGCAGGTAATCGAGAGTGAAGGCTGTATACCTTCGGTAGTTCGAGTCGGTGTCATTGCTCTGATATGTAACACTCGAGGGATGAACGCTTGCTGTTTTTGATTGTTGATTTTCAGTTGTTGAACTTTAAATCGACTATTATTAAATATGTGATGTTTCGAAGTTGCTGTTTTGTTGTTAGAGATGTTATTAAGAATTCTGCTGCGTAGATGTTGATTTATTTGATTAAAGATGTTATGTTGACGGTTCATCCGATGTTTGAAAAAGTGTTATATATCCACGATGAATGCAATGAATTTGTTAGAAGAATTTGTGACGTCCCAATTCATTTGTATGATTGAAATTTTATAACTCTGATTTATTTTGCATAATTGCTTGGGGGTAGAATTGGGGTGTTACAGACATTGTAACCAAAAAAAAATCTACAATTCTGGAATCAGCAAATCTAGTACCGAGTAATCTAACTTTATGATTGTCTCGGACTCTTTCATTCTATGCAACTCAAATTCTCTCATCAAAGTCAGCACTTGCATGCTTCAAATTCTCTCATCCCATGTATATTCTTCCTTCAAACAGTCTCAGATTGCTTTTGGTGTTTTCAGGGTCATGATTCTAGTGAAATTTGTTTCTGAAACACCAGAAAAAATTATCTTGCCTTTGCCTTCCTTTTTTTTTTCTCCTTGTGATATTTTATCTGAGTCATCGTAAGATTATTTGGCAGCAGAGGAACTTCATAATCCTCGTCTGCAGCTTTCCAAAAGTCTAAAACTTCAAGGTAAGACTTCATTCTTACTGCCCAAAGATCATAGTTGTCCCCATCAAAGAGAGGAGGAGCAACTTTTGAAAAACTTGAATTTGTATCCATTTGATAAGTCCCTCAAGAAGAGAGATCTGATACCAATTGTAGGTTTTTGTTTTTTGAATAAGAGAAGAAAAACGAAGAGAAGGAGCGTGCAGAAAGTATTGCTGCAAAGTTTACTTTTATTTAATGAGAAACTAATGTTTGAATACAAAAAAAAAAATAATAACTCAGATGGGAAATAGTGCTTCATGATTCTAGCAACCATTACTAACTATGTGAAAAACTAATACGAAACTAACTAATAGGCTGAAAAATAGGAAATTAACTTGTCCACTTAACAATAAAATAATAGATATTCAGCCTTGACTTATTCAAACTATAAAATGCAGCATCCAAAGGCACGTTTCATCAGAAAGGTACAACTAACCACAAAAAGCTATTAGCAGTCCTAAAACGATTTGAACAGACTACACAAGGTCAAGGGCTTGCCTTTTCTGCTGCTTCTGCGGTTGCAAACTCGACATCCACATGGAGACGGACGTCAGCAACTTCTCCACAATCTTTGAAAATATTTTCACTGAAAACATTTCAAATTAGACAAATAAAACCGATAATAATCAATAAGAACCAGAAAGAAAATGAATACATACATTTCAGCCCGTTCCACATCGAATGACAAGTTTCTAACACATACTGTTTTGGATGCAGCATTTTCCTCTTTTCGTGTAGCTGAGGTTTCAGGCTGCAAAATTCAAGAAATAAAAAATTATATCACTGATTTGATATTTTACATGGCAGTAAGAGAGATTATTGGTCACTTACAATTTGTTTCTCAGCAGAGGCAGCATCAAACATCTCTACATCCTTAACCTCCTTTGCACAACTCAACTATAATCCAATAAAGAAGTGAACTCGTCAGCACAGCAGCATTGGCAAGTAGATAATACTACCTCCGTTTCAAAATGAGTGTCGTTTTAGAGAAAAAAATTATTTCAAAATGAATGTCATTCTCACTTTTCAATGTAGCAATGATTGCTATTTTTCCAATTGTGTTCTTTACACATTAATAAGACTAATTTAGTAAAAGTGCAATGTCTTATGACAACATTATTACATTCCTTAATTCGTGTACAAAAACTTTAAACGACGCTCATTTTGAAACGAAGGGAGTATAGATATTATAGAGAAAAAATACAAAAGAGAGAAATTTGCCCAATCTTGTTCAGAAACTGATGCAGCAAACTAATATTATAGAGAAAAAATTACCTTGCCGTCCGCAAGAGATGTATCAGAGCACTTCACAGGTACAGTTTGAGACTGTAATTTTTCATCCTTATGCAATGAGTTGCTCCAGGACCAGCTGCTGAAATTATTAACAAAAGAGAAATAGGAAGATCTTGGCATAAGGGAAGATATTGATATAAGGGTAGATGTTGAAAGAAGATGTTGGCATAAGGGAAGATATTGAAATGAATCAGTAGAAGATAGTAAAGGCTCTTCTGAATATCCTTGAAAAAATTCCTTAAAAATAATAAGATATGTATATAAGATTCTTCTACAATTAGCTAAGTTTCTAATTAAAATACAAATACTTGAGAAAAAGCAGTTTGAGTACATCAAAAAACAATAATAATTAAAAAAAGCTATCTCATCATACAAGTGTAAGTGTTTTTTATGAGACAGAGAGAGTTTAAAAAAATATTATTTTATGTAATTTCTAAAAAAAAATAATGTAGAACAGAATTACTTGAGAGATATTCAAAATAAAAAATTGTGAAATCTTTTAAAATAAAATAAATTACTTTAAAAAAATTAACTAAAAAAAGGGGGTAACCCAGTGCACGCCCTATGATAGACACACACTATGAGTAAAAAAGACTAGATAAATAATTACCTTCCATTGGAGGCATATTTACCCCTTTCCAAAGCTAAACCAACAAACATGAGACGGTTAAAATATACTTTCTTGTTGAACGCAAGAGCCTACAATTTGAAAAGGAAATTGATTATTAACTCAATAAGTCTGAGTAGAATAAAAATTTAACAAGCTTAAGCATAGAATAGATGATGCAAAAGGCGTAGCAATACAAGAACCACACACACACAGATCTATATAGACCTGAAACTTGGGCAGTAAATAGTTTAGAAATGGGAGAACATGGTGGCGGTTTCACCAGAAAAGGTTGCCGGAAAATTCTTTGGCAACGGTGGGTGGCAGGAAAAATCCTATGGAGCAACGAAAAAGAACACAGTGGAGGAGAGAAATTTTTCAATTTTGTATGCTAATTATCAGAGTTCCTTCATACTTAGCAGAACTCAGCTGCAGAATAATAATGAAATAGGTCACAGAGGATGGTAAAGCTCTGATACTCCAAGTTAAAGTTATGAGACTATAGATAAAAGAAGAAATATAATTATCATATAATATGATATAATAAACTTCATAGTAACTTTGCACTGCCTTGAGACAAAAAAGCTAAACATTGTATCCCCATTGTTATAGGGATACAAGACTCCTAATCCTAAATTTATAGAGAAATCGATAAAATCATTATGACGCCTGAGTAATAGGGAAACTACTCTAAGATCAGAAACTGATCCTTCGAGATAATTTAAATTCTAAGATGATTTAAATGATTAGCGTAAAGTAATATGAAAGATATTATATCCATGGGGATTTTGTTCAAGGACAAAACCGTGATAGCTTTTTACAAGACCCAAAGCGGACAATATTTCAAAAATACAGTGTCATGGACATAAGGTCGGAAAAGCAACCAAATGAAATTAACAAATTCCATCAAAAATTCTAGGAAGGAAAAAAAGTATTGGAATAAAATCAAATTGCTAAAATTTTAACCCAAGTATACATGAAAAGTATATGCCATTATTGCTTTTGGGCGGTTCTAAAATCAATTGCACGGTCACAAGTCGTACCTTTTGTGCTGCTTCTGCTGTTGCAAACTGAACATGTCCATGGCCTTTAAAATTCCCGTCGCGGTCTGTATGGAGACGAACATCAACAATTTCTCCACAATCTTTGAAAATTTCTTCCCTGAACAGTTTTAAAATGAAAATAATGAAACAGAAAATAATTCATTAGCACCAGCACAAAAAGATTATTACAAAAAGCATACATACATATCAGCTCGTTCCACGATGTATGACAAGTTTCTGACATATATGGTCTTAGATGCACCATTTGTTTCATTTGTTGTAGCTGGGCTTTTAGGCTGCAAAATTACAGAGAGCAACTAACAACTGATTAGCAAATTGAAATTGCATGAAGAAAGTATATTGATCATTTACTACTCTCGTTCTATGGAAGCAGCACCAAACATCTTCATGCAAATGTAATATATATTGATAGAAACACTAATTAACCATTAAAATACGAAATAAGGAAATGTGAATGCAATCTTGTGTGGGAACATATGCAACAAATCAAATATGGTTGAGAAAAAATCACCTTGCTTTCTACAAGAGATGCGTCAAAGCCCTTTACATTTACAGTGTGAGACTGAAGATCTCCACCCGTATGGAATGAGCTGCTCAAGTTAATAAAATTATTAACAAGGAAATTGGAAGATGCTTCATAAGGCAAGATATTAAAGCGATTCATACAGCAAATTTGGAGCTTGTTTGTTTCTGCTTTGAAAATTGCCATTTTAATTTCAATTTCAAACCAAATGCATTATATCGAAGGAAGGATAGGACTACACACGTCTATTGTAGAGTGTTTTACTATACATTTGTAATGGTCTAAATCTAGTAGACTTATTTCATGAAAAGTGTGTTTCTTAATTAAAAAAACATGTACCAAAACTTTACGGCAATTAATTAAATTTGTTGGTTAAAAAAATTTAAAACATAATCTTAAAAGGAGTTTTTAGTTCTTAAACAGATATATCATTATAAAATCAATGATTTACTCAAAGCTTAATTAAACACAGTTACCTTCTATATGGGGGATATTCACCCTTTTCTCGAGCTATCTCAATTTTGATGCGGCGATACAATAGCTCTGTATTATTCAGTTCCAGGGCCTGTGATTGAAAAAAAAAAAAAAAAAAAAAAGATTCTCAACTCAATATGTCTTTGCATAGAGCAATGCTACAACAAACATACCTATAGATGATGCAAAAGCTATATCAAAACAAGCAATATGTGGGAATATAAAAGAAAACCTAGACATATCAATGTCTGTCACCCGCAAAAACTAAATGTTATGCAATGACATGGGGTTGGATGATGCATATAGCCAAAGCACCTGGCTACGAGAACACTCTATGATTATTGTATTATGAACATATATATAGAAGATAGCATACCATTTTAGTTAAATCAAAATTAAACCGCATAACATTATATTACTTAGCAATATACAAACAAGAATAATATTTAAAAGGTGTGCAGCAATGTGTTTTCATAAGATCGTGACAGAGATTTTCCCTTTTTCAATTGCACAATCACGCAATTATAATTATATAATTAGTCATGTTGAATTAGGAGAGACTAAATCACATTTAGGTAAAACTGTGTATTTAGAAAAGCACTACGGAGCCTTTATTATATAGAGAGAGATTACAACTAATGCTATGATATAGTCGATATGGGACTATTCTACATATAAATATTTTTAACACTATATATATACAAATATCAACACTCCCCCTCAAGCTTGAGCATATAAGTCAAATGCACCAAGTTTGCCACATATATAATTAATTATGGGACATCGCAGAGATTTTGTAAACACATCTGCCGATTGATCATTCGAGTTGACAAAGCTTGTGGTGATGTCGCCTAACTCAATCTTCTCTCTGACAAAGTGACAGTCAATCTCAATATGTTTGGTTTGCTCGTGGAAGACCGGATTTGAAGCAATGTGCAATGCAGCTCGATTATCACAAATAAGTGTCATTGATCTTGCTTATTCAATTGTATGTTCTTTAAGCAATTGTTTTAACCAAACAAGTTCACATGTTGTCATCGCCATGGCTCTATACTCTGCCTCGGCGCTTGATCTTGCAACTACATTTTGTTTCTTTTCCAAGATATAAGGTTTCCTCCAACAAGTACATAATACTCAGAGGTGGATCGTCTATCAATTGATGATCCTGCCCAATCAACATCGGAGAATTCAACTATTTGAGTATGTCCTTTATCTTCATACACTAAACCTTTTCTTGGAGCACAATTGATGTATCTCAGAATCCGGATAACAGCATCTATGTGTTTCTGACAAGGGGAATTTAGGAACTGACTTACCACACTGACTGCAAAAGAAATGTCTGGACGAGTGATTGTGAGAAAATTCAATTTTCCAACCAATTTCCTATACCTTCCCGAATCTGATAGAGGCTCCTCATGATTGGATAGTAATTTGACACATGGATCCATAGGAGTATCAGTTGATTTAGCGTTCAACAAACCTGTTTCTTTCAAAATATCCATAGCATATTTCCGCTGGGAAATCACCAACCCGTCTTTAGATTGGGCTACCTCAATACCCAAGAAATACCGGAGTTTACCAAGATCTTTTTTGTCTGAAATTGATTCGAGAGATGTTGTTTCAACTGGAGTATTCCCTGCTCATTACTACCAGTTATGACAATATCATCTACATACACAATAAGATAAATACACCCTTGGGCTGAGTGACGATAAAAGACGGAATGATCAGCTTCACTACGGACCATACCAAATTGTTGTACTACAGTGCTGAATCGGCCAAACCACGCTCTCGGAGATTGTTTAAGACCATAAAGAGACCTGTGTAACCTACAAACCATATTCGATGACTCCCCCTGAGAAACAAATCCAGGTGGTTGCTCCATATATACTCTTCAAGATCACCATGTAAAAATGTATTTTTTATGTCAAGTTGATGAAGAGGCCAATGTCGAATGGCTGCAATGGCTAGAAGAAGTCTAACATATGTCATCTTGGCTACAGGCGAGAAGGTATCGCTATAATTCAATCCAAAAATCCGAGTGTATCCTTTGGCTACCAAGCGAGCTTTAAATCAATCAATCTTACCATCTGAACCAACTTTCACTTTATAAAGCCAACGACAACCTACTAAAGATTTCTCAGGTGATAGAGGAACCAGTTCCCCGGTACCACTGCTTTGAAGAGCACACATTTCATCAACCATTGCTTGCCTCCACTCAAGGTGAGATAATGTTTCACCTGGAGTGTTAGGAATAGAAACAGAAGACAAAGAAGACAAACAAGTATACTGCAAAGGGGAAAGACGATGATAACATAAATCAATATAATATGGAGAAGGATTTCGTGTTTGACGTATACCGTTTCGAAGGGCAATCGGAAGATCGGAATCAGGTTGCAGCATCGGATTCGGTGATAGCGAGAATGTCAGAGGAGAGTCAGCGATGACCTCAGGGACATGTACGACCTCAGGGACAGGTACGACAGACGTTGGTTGACGACGCTGATATGTTTGAAGTGGACGAGAAGTCGGGGGGTTAACCGTAGGGTTATCTAGTGGGTCAAGTTTCCTAGAATGATGGGGGATAATGACATATGGGAATTCCATAAGAGGTGTGGGAGTACTCTCCTGAAAGGATTCCGGAGTTACTTGGCGAAGAAGGTGACATCGGCAGACATGAGGTATTGTTGTAGGGTATGTGAATAGCAACGATAACCTTTTTGGAATCGATGATAACCAAGAAAAACATACTTTAGTGATTGAGCTAATAGTTTATCAAAACCAGGAGAGAGATTGTGTACAAAACATGTAGATCTGAAGACTCGGGGAGGAATTGGGTGAAGGGGGGGAATGGGGAAAAAGGAGTGAATAAGGGATTTTATTGTTAAGAACAGATGATGGCATGCATTTATAACGTAACATGCCGTAAGCACAGCGTCTCCCCAAAAGTGAAACATTACCATGGAGAAGTAGGGTCCGAGTGGTTTCTACAAGATGCCGATTTTTGCGTTTGGCTACCCCGTTTTATTGAGGCGTATGAGGACAAGATGTTTGGTGGAGAATACCATTACGAGACATAAAAGTTTGAAATTGTTGGGATAAATGTTAACGAGCATTATCACTTCTTAAGGTACGAATAGACACACCAAACTGGATTTTTATTTCTTCATAAAAAATTTCAAAAATAGAAAATAATTTTGATCTATTTTTCATTATAAATAACCACGTGCAACGTGAAAAATCATCAATAAAGGTGACAAAATACATAGACTCAAGAGTAGAGATAATACGTGAGGGACCCCCTAACATCGGAGTGAACTAAAGTAAAAGGGGACGAAGCTCGTTTATTGACTCGATTGGGAAATTGACTACGAGTGTGTTTCCCTAACTGACACGACTTACAATGTAAATTAGATACTTACGTTAAACTTGGCACCAACTTCTGTAATTTGAGAAGACTAGGATAACCTAACTGAGCATAGCTTGTGAGTGGAGAATCTTTGGTTGAGCGTGTCTGAGATGACACTGAGAGGTAATAAAGGCCTTGAGACTCACATCCGATGCCAATTGTCTGTCCCGAACTCCGATCCTGCAGGGTGACATTACTATTAGTGAAGGTGACAATACAATCAAGAGAACGAGTTAAACGACTGACTGAAAGTAAATTAAATAGACAATTAGGTACATAGAGAACAGAAGTAACAGAGAGAGAAGGTAGAATTTGAACAATACCAATTTCTTCGGATCGGGTTTGAGAATCATTGGCAGAAGTTATTGTAGGTAAGAAACCAGAGGTAGATAGGGAAGAGAAAAGATTTTTATTACCAGTAACATGATCAGACGCACCAGAATCAAGGACCCAAGGTCCAAGAGAAGATGATTGAGAGAATCAAACAGATGAATTACCAGTGTGTGTAACCGAAGCAGTAGAATCTGAGTTCTGATAATTTTGATACCACTTGAGAAAATCATCGTAGTTTGGCGTAAAGTTCTGAGTAGCCATGAGTATCGGATTTGGAAAAGTCGCACGGTGGCGAGTGCGGTGGTGTTAAAATCGTCGGAATCGGCCGGATCGAAGGAGGCGCTTTTGCCGGTAGGGTTAGTTTGACAGAAGATCGCCGGAATTAGTAGCGGCGGATGGCGGCAGCAGTCCGCTGGTTACCGGAGAATTTTGGAAAGTGGGAAGTAAACCGGAGTGATGACACGGTTTGTAAAAAAAAAAATTGTCACCAGAAGACAGTGGGTCAACCGGATAAAACACGGTGAAGAATTGCCTCTTAGTAGGCTCTGAAACCATGTTGAATTAAGAGAGACTAAGAGACATTTAGGTTAAATTGTGTGTTTAAAAAAGCACTACAAAGACTTTATTATATATAGAGAGATTACAACTAATGCTATGATATAGTCGGTGTATTCTACATACAAATATTCTTAACACTATATATATACAAATATCAACAAGTCATAAGCACAAGGAATCAAAATTGTTCGGATTACTTAATTACGTTAATTGTAACAATATCAATAGGAATCCTGGGAATGAGAAAAACATTACAATAAACTCAAATTGTTCAAATTTTACCCTATGTGTATCTGAAAAGTATATAGCATTGTTGCTTTCAAAAGGAAAAGCTATCTTTGAATTTTTTTTTGCTGTAACTTACTTTTTTTGCTGCTTCTGCTGTTCCAAACTCGACATATCCATGGCCTTTAAACCTCCCTTCACTATCTGTGTTGAATCGAACATCAACAACTTCACCACAATCTTTGAAAATATCTTCCCTGAATAATCTTGAAAAATTAGAAAAATAATCCATAAAATAATCGGCAAGAAGTTGGGTGAAAAATAATGCATACATATCAGGCCGCTCCACACTATATGACAAGTTTTTAACAAATATTGTCTTCGGAGCAGCATATTTTTCGTTTAGACTGACTGGAGTATCGTGCTGCCAAAAAATGCAGGAAATAACATCACATAACTAATTTGGTGATTAACATGCAAGAAGAAAAAAATTGGTTAATTACAACTTTAGTTTCATTGGAGGCATCAACAAACATTTCATACATCCTTAACTTCTTTCATGTGTGCTATTCCTATATAAGCATAAAAAAGGGAAATTGTATTATAAAATGCGTACCCTTTCCTGAGCTGTTTTGGAGACTTTTCCCTCTATTTCTTCCTCATTGTTCTCATGACTCTCCAAATCTTCAGGCTGCAATTAAAAGAAAAGAGCCAAGATAGTAAAAATTCTGCTTAGAACAACTATATGCACTTCCTCATTGTTCAATATACTAACTTTCTTAACCATGTGACACTTTTCAACATCATCAAAGCTATAAGTATCACTAGAAGTATCCATTGTTAACAGTTTTGAAATCATATTTTTCAGCATCAAATATCATCGAACGTCAAAAGAAAAAGTAAGATTGAAAAGCAAATAGAAGATAAGAACAAATAACAAAATTCTATACACCAAAACTTCCATCTTTATCTTTTGCGCCTTTTCATCCCTTAGTTCAAAGTCATCACATCACCCTTACAACAAATAACAAAAACAAAACACTAACTTTGCCAAATGCCAACCCTCAGCATATAATAGATCAGTTAGTAATTTTAAATTTATATGTAGTAAATCAATTCACCAAAACAATTTGTCTATCATCATATTAAACCCTTTTGAAATGCACATAGGATGAGTCTTGATGAAATCAGATTGTTTCAAGTAGCCTAGAGTACCCTATTATATTCTTCTAACTGAACTATACCCATGAAGAGAAAAAATCATTGATTTTTCAAGCATTAATCAATGTTTCTTAATACACATATTATAGCACAAGAATCAACCACTAACAGTAGTCAATAATTCAGTATTTACCTTATCCTCGTCAGAGCTTCCGTGAGAGTCAGGATCTGAGACACCATCATCTGATGATTTCAAAGATCCACAACGAGCATCAGATTCATTTTTAGCTTCAAGTTTCTGAACACAAGGAAAAAAATAAATCATAACCACAATCAATAAACAATAGTAAAAAAATCTATAAAAAAATTAAAAATATATTGGTATTATACTAAAGCTCTTATAAATGATAATACATAAGTTGAGAAGCTAAATACATGTAAAGAAAACCTTGTCATGTTCAGAATAGTCTGAATTATTTTCCTCCTTAACCTCTTGATTTACAACCACCTCGTCTATTTTCTGCTTCTTTGCAACCACTTCATTCTGATCTTCATCCTCATGCCCCCTCTTGATTTCTATACAAAATTTAATTTATTTTTAAACTAAAGCAAAAACAGTACATAGACTAAACCCTTCTGCAAAAGAAAGCAAATAAAATAAAATAAAAAAGGGAAATTACCAATTTTTGGAGGTGGAATTGCATTATCACAAACCTACAAAATACAGAGAAATGGAATTAGGTTAATTATACAAAGTAAGAGAGAAATCAGAAAATTGACAATGAAAAATGAAAGTAGTTAGAAAAAAAACGCACTTTGGATTCAGATTGATTGACCATTGCGGCTTTAGTTTGGGGAATTGAACGAGAGAAGAGAGAATTGGGGGTTGATCTAGCCGTTAGGGTTAGGGATTTGTGGTTACGAAGTAGAAGAACAACTCGCGCGCTGTGTTTTTTCTTCTCCAGTTCACTGATTTTGCAAGTTGCCGAAAATTTATTGAGTCTATTGATTATTTAGATGTATTAGTAATTGAGTTTAAAAGTAGTGGAGTGTAAATCAATATGCAATCAATCAAAATCTTTAAATTTATTTATTTATTTATTTAACTATTTTAAATTTGCCAAAGAACTACATCATACGTTCAATATAGGCTCAAAGAACGGTCAGATTAGAGGTGTAATTTAAAATATTAATATATAATATTTTTAATTATTTTTATTGTTATTTAAAAAAAATTAATAACAATAATTGTCAAGCCATCAAAAGTGGCATATCTTCCTTAAAACTATATGCATGTGCCACACAGCATGACATTACATAGAACAGTAAGTCATACCGTGTGGCGCCTCCTCTTTAATTTATATGCATGCGTTATACAGTATAGTTTGATTTTTGTGTGGTGAATTTTTTTTATTCGAAAAGTAATTACTTTGGTAATTTTTCAAAAAAAATGGTTATTTGAGAATTTTTTTTTTTAAAAAATTATTTTAAAAAAAAATCCAATTTAAATTATCAATTTTAAATATAAAATTCTCTAATATCTTGATTTTAATTCTTATTTTTTAATAAAATAATTAAATATGAAAATTATTAATTATAATATTTATTGACTATTATTGCACTAAAAAATTTTAATAAATGATTACGACGGTAAAAAAAATTCTATGAATTATTATTTTTTATATTAATTATAATTATTTTAGATATTTCTTAAATTTATTTAAATATAAACATTTTATATTATTTTTCTGTTTAAATTTGACCACTCATTTTCTAAATATATAATATCAAAAAAAAAAATTTAATATAATTTAGGAAATCAATTTTTATGATAAAGTAGATAATTTTAAATTAATTATTGCTCAATCCTAATTCTATTTTTTTTTATTTTCCTTTTTTTCATCTATTTTACAAATTTCTATGTTTTAAAAAGTAACTTTCTTATTTAAAAATTGAACCATCACTCTCAATATATAACACCATCAACAAAGAAGATGACATTATAAAGAACATGATTGTTAAAGGTGGATTAGCTCGCTTAACTCCTCGTAACGAAGGAACCATCTTCCAAACTCATTCACTTCATTTGTGATAGCCTAAAAAATTATAATACTTGCAAAATCCTCTTTTCTTTCGTTGTTCTAACGGAGGAATTTTAGCGTCAGGTGTAATTACCGTTTAGTCATCTTTGACTAACAAGTCGAAGATCTCGTCACACTTCGTCACGTCGAAGGTGTATGTTCTCTTTGAGAACTTTATAATTCTTTTCTTGTTCGACGGGATTTTTCCCACTCGAATGAGCAAGAACTTTGCATGAATAGGGTGACCCTTATTTTAATTCGGCCAAATATATTTCATTTTCATCGAAGCCTGGAGGTTCATTATACACCTCTGGTTCGTCTTCATCCATTTCGACATAGGCTACCCTTTCTCTTCTATTGTTTTTGCTAGCCCTAGCCTTTTCATCCTTCAGATGTTCGATCTGTCGAACTCTGTCTGCCAACTAGGCCATGTCTCTTAGATATTGGGTATCTAATTTCATTCTGATAGAGTAGTCTAATCCACCCGCATCCATTTTGACTAGTTCTTATTTTGGCACTTAAGTGAAACACCTTGCCTTCAATAATCAGAACCTATTAAGATAGTCATCTATAGGTTCGCTAAACTTACGCTTAATACTAGCCAATTCTTTCAAACTAATCTTCGACTGACCCATGTAAAACTGTTCATGGAATAGTCTTTCTAAACGAGTCCACTCATGGATAGAACTCGCGAGGAGAGTCGTGAACCATGTGAAGGCATTTTTGGTAAGTGAACTAGCAAAATATTATATCCTTAGGTTTTCGTTATTCGTTATATCCCAACCTCTGTCAAATACATGGCTATATGTTCGACGATGGATTCACTGGTATCACTAGAAAATTTTGTGAACTTTGGGACTTTCCATCCCCTTGATAATTCAGTCTATTAAACATATTCAAACAAAAGGGATGTATAGTTTGTCCTTCGAAGGCCTATATTTACCATATTTCGAGCCATTATCATTTCGACCATGGCTGCCAAATTATTTTCTCCTGCAAATTTGTCATGTCGAACACGATGTAGGACTTCTTCTGCATCTTGGTTTCGATTAACCATTACTATCCTTGGGGCTTGAACTTCCCTTGGTATTACTTGTTCGATTCTAGGTTGTTTGATTTTTTCCCTGGTTTACTTTGCCAACATTTTGTGCTACTGGTTACGCTTGGTTAATGGTTGGATCTTCTTCGACAATCATCCCATATTTTTCTCTCAATCATTCTCGACGAGTTTGTCGAACTGGGGCCTGGGAGGGCCCAAAGAAATCTGCAATTCGTGTCACCTGTGCTACCAATTACTGATTCGTCTGTGCATTTTGTTGATTAGTTTGGGTAGCCCTTTGGATCAAAGGGTTAAAAGTTGTACCCATTTGTTAGGCTAAGACACCAACCATTTCATGATTACTATCATTCATCTATTGTCTAAATTCCGCTGCATAATTTATTGTAATGGTAGGTAATTGGGTAGAAAATCCTAGGGTGGGACATTTCGACCCATATTATTGATACCTGATCCTGATCCCTATAGTGGTGAAAAAGTAAAAAACTTGTAGGGAACGTTGATGTACTATTGTTTAGACTTGCCATCATTGTTGTTGGTATGCCATAAATTTGTTCACGATCATCTGTTGGCATTGTGAATCCAGACACAAAATGTCTGAAATTGTTCATCCCTGGTGATCTTAGGGTCACTGGGGGACCCTGTGTTTTCACTGGGGATAGAACTGTTCCGCTATAAGTGTTCATAGGTATTCTCGTCTGACTTGCTTGAACTGATATCAATTCGGTTACAGAGACTGCAGACGTATTTTCCCCTGTCGAAGGGGTGGTTGTTCTCCATTATTGCTTGGTAGATTCACCATTCTTCTAACGTATTTTCTTTTGGTTAATACTCCAGTAGTTCTAACTATTCTACCATTTCTTAATCTCATGCAAAAATGTTAAAGAACAAGCTTTTGTATGAAAAATAGTGGCAAATTTTCAATTTTCTAACAAAATAGACATTGCGTCCCACTGAACGTACCAATTTGTTTATTGTGAAATTTGGTAAACAATCGTTAGTCTTCTGAATTCTAGAGATTTTGATTGCTTGCATGATCGACTAGATTGATCCAAGAACTATAGTGTATATTTTGTGTTGTAAGTTTTCTGGATATCAATCTCTTCGATAGAGATTGTGATTTCGAAAGTAGTAATAAAATGCTTTAAAATAAAGACTGGAATGTAAACCAATTTAGATTTAAACTTAAAATAAATGTAAAGGATTTCAATTGAACACTTGGTACTTTGAGTTATTTTGAATAATTTGTACAAAGAAGTGAACACGCAAAATTCTAACATAAAAACTTATCTGACCTGATCAGAAATGGACCGTCACGGCTGGCTCCGAGCAGAAAGCTTTTTGAACGAAGTGGGGGGGGGGTACCTGCAAGGCACTCCGATGCTGAAGTAAGTAGAAGTACGAGCAGGTAATAGCAAGTGTATGGTTAGAATGATGAATACCTGACCCTCTGGAAGCAGAGGGTATTTATAGCCCCCGGCGCTGGGCCAAGGTTCCTTCATTGGGCCGGGCAGGTTTGGCCCAATGGAGGAACTGCCAGGTTCTACGTGGGTAGTGGGGACCCGCACGTGGTTCCCTTCCTGGATGTTCTGCGTGAAGTGCGGGCGGACGGAGACGCGGTCTTTTCGGGGCCTCGTTGGGAGTGCAGTGGACTGAGTCTGCCCAAGTTGGGGTGCTCGAGGCGATGTCGTGCTGGACAACAGGATGTCGAGCTGGAGATGCAGAGGTTGAGCACGTGACCTCAGGGAGCACGTCGGGCACGACTGTGACCCTTTGGTCGGCGTGTTCCTCAGCTGGAGATGCAGAGGTCGAGCACGTGACCTCAGGGAGCACGTCGGGCACGACTGTGACCCTTCGGTCGGCGTGGTCCTCAGCAAGTCTATTTGGATTGGGCCTTGGCAATGCTTTTGGGCCTGTCGGGCCCAGTCCAGAACAGGAGCCCCCCAAGTCGTGGTTCCTTTGTTAGGAGCCATGGCTTGAACTCAGGTCGTTTCCGCTTCGGGGTCTCGTGCCCGGGATAGAGATGCGGGTCCTCGAGGGCCTCCCCGTGTCGTGTTCGGAGACATCTTCCGCGGTGGATGCCCGGAGGATCCTCACCGGTGCGTGTCTGTCGAGCACGCGGGGTATCTTTCGGGAACTGTGCCGCCACCCTATGATGGTAGGGTCATCATTGCGTCGGGAGCAGCGTGTCGGGGAGAAAACTCCGTGGTTGCCCGAGGTGACGTTTGGTATTCCACGTCATCACTATAAATAGGAACCTTGGGCCCCATAACACGTTTCTACTCTTTGTGCTCCTATTGCTGCTGTTCTTCCAGATTTTTCCCAGACGCTATCCTCTGTTACAGATTCTTCTACTCCGTAGCCGATTCCTACTTTTTGATTCAAGTAAGTGGTTTATCTTCTTCATTTTCCTGTTGTAATGCATGATTTTCAGCGTTTGTAGATGTTTTAGGGACTGTGCGTGTGGGACTAGCCCGACAAACTCATACTTAGCTCGACACATTCATGCTTAGGGTCGGCAAACGCATGCTTGTGGCCGGCTTATTCATAGTTTTAGGTGCTAATCAGCAGCGCTGCCCGGGGTCTTCATGATCCAGGGCGCCGGATTCATGATCGCGCCCGGTATGTTCATGGTTCTGGCCGTAGGTCTCATGATGCCGCTCGCCATGTTCATACCTTGGGTCGACATGTTGGAGGGTGG